AAAATATATGTGAAGTGTGTATGCATGAGGAGTATGCATAAGCTTATGTGTGTATGTATGTAAGAAATGTTATGTGTACATGCATGCATGTGGGTGAGGGTCTGGATGGCCGACCTTTCTTGTTTTAGAAGGGTATAAAAGGGAGAGTTTGACCTTCATTTCATTCCCTTGCCATTTTTAAAATCTTGTGAGTGATCTTGAAAAGAGTTGTCCGATTATCCAAGAGGAGTTTAGCAATCTTTTTCAAAATTTGAGTTTGTACTTAGGGTGAGTGATTTTTTTTTAAACTTTTTTGCATAAAATTTATTACTGGTTTTACTTGAATGTTGTTTATTATTGGAAAGAAATCAGTATTTTAATTAAGAATCTTTATTCGAACAAAGGGTAACCAGACTAAGTATAAATCAGATAAAGCTTGTCCGGATTACTCTTAAACCGAACAAGAGGTGACCGACTTAGTTATAAATCGCTCAAAAGTCATGCGATTTAGGGAGTTAGTGAGATTTTGAATTATGAAAGTAAGTCAGATTTTAAACGGAGAAGTAGGAATACGACCAAGCATTGTGCGGTTTAAGCCTTAAATCGCCTAAGGATTGTGCGGATTATCTATAAATCGGCCAAGTGTTGTCCGGACTACCTTAAACCGGACATATGTTGAGAATGTGTTGACCAGATTGATAAATCGGACAAGGCTGAGTGGGTTGTCCGGATTTGTATATCGGACAGACTTATGTTGATCGGATTTGTAAACCGGCCAAGTGTTGTCCTGACTTTATATCCGAATAACTTGTCCGGATAACTTTTATTTGAAAATTTTCAAGTGTTAATTATTTTAGACATTTATATAATTTAGAAATGTCTATTATTTGGGTTTATTTATGGATTTATAAAAAGGGATATTTTATATCTTTTTAAATAAAAAGATATGTTTCTACCAAGCGTGGTGACGTAAATCTGTTTTGGTATGGAACTGGATTTGGGAAAATGTTTCTACCAAGCGTGGTGACGTAAGTCTGTTTTGGTATGAAACTATATTTTGGGAAATGTTTCTACCAAACGTGGTGACGTAAGTCTGTTTTGGTATGAAACTATATTTTGAGAAACCTTCCTACCAAGCGTGGTGACATAAGTCTGTTTTTGTATGGAAGTGGATTTTATAAAACGGTTTCTACCAAGCGTGGTGACGTAAGTCTGTTTTGTTAAGAAACTTGTTTTAAGTGGTAGTTCCCCCAGACGTGGTGACTTTTGTCTGTTCTGGCTTGGAACTGGGAATTGGTACTTTCAGACGTGGTGACTTTTGTCTGTTCTGATAAGTAACCCTGTTTTGGTAGGAGGAATAAGGGTGGCATATCAAGGAGAGGTGTACTTGGAATAAGGGAGGCATAGTCATATGTGGATATTATTATAACTCTTATTATTATTACTAATTAGATTTAGGGCCTGTTTACTTGAGGCTTAATGAGCTTGGCGGATAAACTGGCTTATTCGCACAGACTTTCTAGGCTGTTTACCTCGGGCTTAATCGCTCAGAAATGGGCTTATTCGCCCAGATGAAAGAAGGAGCTTGTCCAGGTTAAGCCGGCCAAAAGACTGCCCTACCCTTCCTTATCTTATCGTGCGTCTCCAAGAAACACCCTGCCTCTTCTCCATCGATCCAAACCCTAATCGCATATCTCTTCTCCATCGATCCAAACTGTTTACAGAACCCTAATCGAAGGCCTCTTCTCCATCGATTGACAGTCTTCTCCATCGCTCACGGCCCTCTTCTCCTCCATCGATCGACAGGTTCTTCTCCATCGCTCACGACCCTCTTCTCCTCCATCGATCGACAGGTTCTTCTCCATCGTTCACGACCCTCTTCTCCTCCATCGATTGACAGGTTCTTCTCCATCACCACGGCCCTCTTCTCCTAATTGGTACCTACTATACTCCTCCAGTCGATTTTTTGATGTTTGCTGGTATACAAGTCACCGTCGATTTTTTGATGTTTGTTGTTCTTCAACGATTTTTTGATTTTTTTGATGTTTGTTGTATTTGTTGTTTTATGGTTGCGGTTGATGTTGTTTGATGTTTGCTATTTATGTATTTGTTGTTTTATAGTTGCTGTATTTGCTGTTATAGTTAGCATAAACATCGATTAGGTTGCCGTATTTGCTATTTTATAGTTGTTGTTGCTGTTTGATCACATGTTTAGCATAAACCTCGATTAGGTTGCTGTATTTGCTGTTTGATCACATATTTTATAGTTGTTGTTGCTGTTTCATCCTCAGGGGTAAATTGGTCATTTCTGTTATTCAGACTGTTGATTTAGATAAAAAAGGAAACAACAACATAAATTTATCCAGACAGACAAATTTATCCATACAAGACTTAATAGAAAATTTGGTAAACAACCCCTTAATAACTTTGAATCATCATTTCTCTGTGACCTGATTAATTAGAGATATTATTCTTATTAGAAATATTAATTTAGATGTTATTGAGAAGGGGAAAATGGTTTGTCATAAAAGGTAAGTATTGCCTTAAATCTTTCCGTTAAATGTTTACAAAGGAATGGTTTAATGATTCGAAGAATCTTTGGTTACATTACTGTTTCATATTGAGAATATTGAATTTTTAAGCAAATATATTTTAGTAGTAGAACTAAGGTTTTTGAGTTTATTCTTGTATGCATATCATTGAGAACTGCATCATTGGATTGTATTACAAATATTTCTGAGCAAAGTTACTTTATTATATTTTGGTGTTTATTACCCTGCAATTGCAAAGAAGGGACTTACTCACTAGACCCTTCAGGTCTAACCCTCATTTTCTGTTTTAAAATTATTCAATGCAGGAATAGCGGGGTCCGGGGATATTAAAGGGAAAGGGAAAATGTGATTATTTTCCTAATCTGTTATCTACTTTTGAAGATACATGTTGTATTACATGTAATAGTACATGATTTATTTTAGAAATTTTTATATGTAGATTTTGTACATATAGTAATTCTTGTACTAGTGGGACCTTATGATGTAAACTATATTTCCATGTAATGAAATATGTGTTATATGCAAATGTGAAGTTTGGGGTGTTACATTTGTAATTGTAAACGGCATAACTTTTAGGGGGTATTTGGTTTGATGGGTTTTGAGGAATTTGGATTTCGTGAAAGAATTTGGAATTGGAGCAATTTGGATTTGAAGTCTTTGGCTGTGTTTGCTTTGTAAGATTTGAAATGGATTTGAATTTCATTCTTTATAAATAATTTTAAAGATAATTAAATTACTTTTTTATGAATTGATTATTACAAAACAAGTGGTTTTTAGCTTTAAAACATTATAACGTAAAAATCCCACCAAATCATGTGAAATACCAATCACCCCCAAGGGACTTCGAAATCCTATATGAGATTTCAAATCCAAGAAATTTTTCAAACCCAAGAAATTTTCCAAACCAAACATGGATTGGAATGAAATTCAATTCCAAATTTCTCCAAAACCAATTCAATTCTACAAACCAAACAGAACCTTAGTATATTCGTTTGTTAGTGGGATGTGCACATCTTTTGATGTATTTTTATAAAAAGGAAGGACACAACTTTTTATAACTTACCATCTAGACAAAACTTCTATATGCATCTATTTATAAGTTATGTTTTAGAATGACTAATGAAAATGAAGAAATGTATATTCCTCAGTTTTGTAGGTGCAAGGATTATTCGTTCAAAAATTGTTCAAGAATTTAACCATTCAAAATATGCAAGTCTGTAGGGCTTTTTTTGAACTTTTTATGATTTTACCACAATAAACAGTTTTATAGTTTGGAGGATAAATTTCTTCGGTTTCAACAATTGTAAGGATTTATTTGTTCAATAATAATGCACAAAGACTTAATCGCTCAAAATATGAAAGACCATTGGTTTTTTTGGGCCTTTCCCTAATGATTTTTACCATAATAACTAGTTTTCGGTCATTTTTGTATGCCAAAGGACCATTTTTGGTTTGATTTTAGCAAGTCCAGGAATTATTTGTTTAAAAGGACTTGATCTCTCAAAAAATGTAAATCCATTGGGGTTTTTCCCGAAAATATAATTGAAGGGTAATTCTATCTTATATCATTATTTACATCTATCTAATCTTCAAAATTTACATTCTGTGAACTAAATAGATTTAATTCCTTTCCAAACCCCTTCCTATTCCAATTCCGTTAGACAAACTTCATTCCTTCTAAAAACATTCTACGAACCAAATGCTACCTAAGAGTAATATCTTTGAGTTGTTGAGGAAGGGGAAAGAGTTGGCTTAGAAGAGGTTGATCAAGATTCAAGAGGGATATGAGGCCGACATGAACCTGATTGAGTTCAGCTACTAAATGGTTTAAGGCAAACTAAAAGATATTGTTTGGTTTGCACAGGGGCAGTTTTGGAAATTGGAGAAGCATTTGGAAGTTTTCAGGCATCACAGTTACTGTTTAAGTTGAATATGGTTTGCTACTAGGATCATCTGAAATATCACAAGGTGGTAAGAAGTAATGAAAGAAGATAAAGGCTTTAGATGGTCAAAAGCATGGCATAAACCAAACCAAACCAAACAAAACGATCCCAGTATATCCCGCTCGAGAGCAAAACTATGGAGAATTACTATGACGATGCCATTATAACTGTTGTGAAACAGAGTTTAAGGAAATGACAACTAGAAGCAAGGAGGCTCGTAGTCAAGTCTTGTGGACCTAATGAGCTGAAGGCCTAGCAACTCTTTCAGATCAATCCAGAGACAAAAAATTTAAACCATTCCAAACAAACCGAGTAAGTCCCACATGGAGTAGGTTCAAGGGGTAGAATGCACGTAGACCTTACCTCTACCCTGAGAAGTAGAGAGGTTGATTCCGTAGTCCAACTAGAACCTGCTGAAGTTCACTTAATTTTTGCCATATACTTTAAGCACATGAGCTTGTTTCTTGTATATGTAGACACAGTTGAGAAAATGAGAACGAGAAATGAAAAAACAAGATGCCTCAAGGATCTTAAATGGCCTTGATGCAGCTACATTGAAATTGATATAACATACAAATGCACAAACATGGCATTCAAACTTGAAACTTCTATGAAAAGCCCAGTTTTGTGTTTGCTGAAGGTCTAAAGCGTATGAGAGATTCATGTACAGATATGCAAAAGGACTTTATACCCATTCTTCTTATTCATCATTATTTGGTTAACACATATAGCTATTTCCTGCGCCTATCACCTAGATCATTGACCACATCATTACATGGTAAATACGGATTTATACTTCAAGGCAATAGGGAGCATGGATAGTAATGAATCAAACTTCAATAGATTTGGTCGAAAGCTTTTACCTTCATTTGAATCAAGATTCTTGAGGTCCATCAAAAGACTGAGTCTTCCTCAAGTTCCAATGGAGACCATCGTGGATGCTGTTTAAGAAGTCACTGGTGGAATCCCCTTGACAAGCTGTGGGCACTGGCCAAGCAGCCATGCTGCACACAAGTGCATCTCCTGGAGCTAATTGTTTTCTGTCCTTCCCGTCAAACGATGCCCATGCATTGCCTCGGCTATTTAAGGGCACTTGAATCCTAAGCGTTACATGTTCAGGTAATATCAGAGGTCGGAAAGATAATGAGTGTGGACAAATTGGAGTGAATAATATGCCAGGAACCTGCAAAATCATGTCTCAGACCACTTCTGGATAGGTAGATAGAAAAGAAGTGGTGAAAGTATTATAGCAATTATGCATAAAACACCAAGGATGCAACATTAAGCAAGAACACTTCACCTTGAATAACAATTACAGGACTGTCTAGAATTCAACAGTACTCGAATGCAAAAAGTGTAATGTGATCCAAGGTTTCTCAGGAGAAGAAATATGTTACTTGTGTTTAATAAAATTATAGTTCCAATTCCTGCCAAGGACAACTGGGCAATAGGTATAATAAAATTGACCATAAAATAAAACATGAATCCAAACTTAGGAACTTATCACTATGGCATTTATGGGTACAGACGGGCAAAGAATATGTTACCTTAAAAGATAAAAAATTAGCTGTAAGCTCTCAGCATGTGAAGTAATGAGAACATTGTAATATCTATGGTCTATCATAAGCATATCTATGACAAACTACCAACTTATTTACCACAATCTCTATCTATGGAATGTGAGAGTTGGTGATCTTTCCCCCTCTTCGAGAAATGGAGAAAGTGTCATTTTGGGTGGTTACTTATACATTAATCTTACCCACTTGCGGGTGTATCTAGTGCACGATATTATCTCATGAATCATGTTGAGTTCAACTTCCCATGATCTATCATCACAGAAACAACCGTAGATGATGATGCATACGGTTTGATTCCAGTGGTAGAAGTTATGATGGTCAATGAACGGAGCCACTGGAACAGGATTGCTTTACAGTTGCAAATAAATCAGCATGCACTCTATCATCCTATTATTAGATTGTGGTGGATGTTTGGAAGAGAGAACAACAATGGTGATAGAAATTCTTGATTGCTCTAAAAGTTCAAGGCAAATACAGGAATTGTAATCAGAAAAATCAACTACTGGAGAACTATAGGCACTGAAAAATCACAAGGTGAAAGATCAACAGAAAATTGTAGTGGAACCTTGTCCTATTAAATATTTTCTAGGTACGAGACATTTTATTACTTTTAATGGTGATTATTCTAGAACTACATTGGTTTATTTATTTTAGTCTAAAAGTTTTGTGATTTTCGTGCGTATGTCAAAACCTAGTTTGATGTGTTCATCAAAGCTTTGCAATTTGCATAATAACAATGCAAAAACCTTTTCCAAGCGACTTCAGTGAACTCACGTTTGAACAGGATCTGGTATTAATCATAATGTGTCTATACCCCCAACAAAATAGCTATTGCTGAATGAAAATATCACCATTTGTAGGATGTAGCTCACACATTGTTAATTTATGGTACTGTCCACCAATGTTTTAGGTTATTTAGGAGAATAACCTGTTGGCATATATTTTTTCTGACAGATTTTAAGCCATTCTTGTGTTAAGAAAATATATTTTCTATTAGGCAGAAACATTCTTTAATCTGTCATAAGGTTATGTATTTTTCATTTTTTAAACCTGTGTTAGAAGATTATTATTCTCCTAGATAACCCCATTGTTTCTGGGTTTTAATTAATAAACCAGGTACCCTTCTCCATTTTTGATGGTATTGTTCTACTCTGTTGCTACATCATGTGTTCCCAAAGACTTTTGGTTTGTTATGTTTATGACATGCATCATCGGGGAACCAAGTTAGACACCAAATCCTAAAGTGAGTTTTTGTTAATTATTCAAAAGGGCTATTGATGTCATACTCCAACATCGACATGGCCCACACATTATTTTGGCTGTATATGACAACACTGTATGGCTTTTTGCTATTTCCAAAGAAGAAATACTTTTAGGTCATTTTTATCAAGAAAATTGAACTAAGTTAAATGTTAGGGACTTATTCTAATTTTCATATCTGTGTTGTTTTTTACAATACACTACATCTATTGTATATTTGTGAAAACTAATTCAACACTTTGATAGGTTTGTTATTCTAATATTAGCTGGCTTTATTTATTTCTGTGATATGTATTGGTGCCAATTTCCCCCCAAAATCATGTACAAAAATGAAATAAAAAAAATAGGAAGGACAAAAGAACAGTTGACAGGCTTGCACTAGTCTACCTAACTGACACTAACCTTTTGAACAACAGCCTATTTCAAACCATTAAAATGATCAATTATGTCAATTTTACCCGCATATTTGACCCACATTTACTTGTTATCTAATCCTCTCTGCACCCCATCTACCACCGCTACCTCATATGCATGGAAGTGCGCTCAAATTGTCATGATGGTAACCAAATAAATGACATTTAATCAATCTCAACTTATCTTAAGGTCCCACATATGATTAACAGTAACACATACCTGTGGATGGACCATTGATCCTCCAGCCGCCAGTGAGTATGCAGTGCTTCCAGACGTCGTTGACAAGATCAAACCATCTCCTTGGACACATGTGACAAATGAGTTATCACAGTAACAATCTAGATTTGTAAGGAATGACGAGATTCCACGATCAACTGTAACCTCATTTAGCACTAATATAGGACCTTCATTTTCAAATTCACTTGCTGCATCGCGAACCACATGGCACTGCAAGCGGTGCCGTAATGTGATACTGATAGGACCTTCCAGTATTGATTTAAGGCACTCTCTGTAGCGTTCACTATCTGATTGATTGAGGTTAAGGATTACTTACAAAGAAAACACTAGGGTATGCAAATGCATCAGAGATGCCATGCGCAATTTTCAATGTGTTTCACAGATGTAACACTTATTGGGCACAACACAATAGGTTGTGAATAGCTTTACTGTTTATTATACAATATACCAATATTTAAGATTGAAGGAAAATAAAATTTGCTGTAAAAAAAGTTAAGGATACAAAATGGGGTCATGAAACCCAGGGAACCTAAAGAAAATGGAACAATTGGAGGAACAGGTCCTTTGAACTTGGATGCAGCCTGAAAAAGGAAAACCCAGCGATTTAATGTCAACAAGAATGAAGGATCCACTTCTCTAGCATACTTTATCCAGATGGATACAAAATCTAATTCATATTTTAAACAAACTGAAAAACTCATGTATTGAAGTTCTCCAATTTTAGCTCAATTATATCCTAACTGATGCCCATTATCATATACTAAAAAACAAGCGACCAAGAATTCAGTAGAAGTAAAACATAGACAAATTATGATCACGTTACAAATTTATATACACTTTATCCTACATGCAATTTCTACATCTTCCTTGTTACCAAGCTGTTGCTATCTACTCACAATGGGTTTGGTAGGTCACAGGCGAAATGGCTCCTAGTGTCCTCGTGGATTTCAATTTCAGAACATGTTCAACTTGAGAGTTCCCAAACTAGTGAACTACAGTTCCATCACTTTGAAATTCATGTGCTGACTGTGCATTTCCACTAATTAACTGTTAACACCAGGGTAGATCCTCCACCTCTTGTGGATTAGTTGAAAAAAATCTATCTGCTGTAACACAATATAAATGAAATTTGTAACTAGCCTTCTTTGCATATCTTTTACCTCTTTAAGGTTATATTTGATCATTACTGACTTGCATTCTTCTCTGCCAAGTGCAAGTACAACTTCTAGAACATAGATAAAAGACTAGATTAACCATCTTTTGCCAGTAATAGCTTAAAGAGAAACTGTGGAATTTGATCACATCATGGCATGGCTGATATTAATTTTGCATCTGCTACTAGTCTAAACAACAATATCAATAAATATTATGAACTGCACTAGCATAAAACTAACTAGAATTTCACGAAGATTATTCTCAGATCATTTGATTTCAAAAATAATGGAACTGGCAGCATATACCCAAAGAACTGTCCCATCTCCACCAAGAGTTACGACAAGATCAACTATCTCATGCAGACGCCAAATCTCCTTGTCTGTGAAGTAACAAGAGAAGAGTAATTGAAAAGAAAATTTCCAACACATTTTTCAAACATATAGAATTACAATCAATCCATTCCTTAAAAAAAATGAAATGTTCCAATACAACTTACATAGCAATTTAAATGAACTGCAACTTAAAATGCATGAAAGTTAGAACAAATTCCAACGGTATGTTCAAGCACGATAAAAATGATCTTTATGATCCACTGTTGAAAGCCATCACAAAGTATGGTGGTTTTTTATACTCACATATTTAACTCAGCATATTGAGCTTGGAGGTCCATAATTCGAATCAAAGCTAATAATTTCAAGTCCTGCCATTTTTTTTTGTACATGATGCTCCCTACCCCACCCCAAACCGAAACAATACTCTTGCCTCCTTTCTGTATAATCAGATTATGTAATAGAGCTCTCATAAAGTATGCTGCATGCACCTGTACAGTACGATCAAAAAAGCACCACCCCTGTTTATTTTATAGTATATTTTCTCTGACCTACTGATTTTGTAATATTAGCATTTTAACAGGATTTTCCTTCAGTGTTGAAAGAAAAAATATACTTGACGATCATGTGAACTCATCATGTACATGCCTCTGCATCAAGTATCATATAGGGGCATGCGACTATTAGGAACATGGGCCAATATAGCAAACCCACGTTGTCAACCGTTACAGGCTTGGTTTACTTGCACTATAATTCTGATCACCTGATGGGTGGGCCTCACTGTTGGGGAAACTGGGTTTTGTAGTTAGTATAGGCTTGGATAAATTTATGGATCGTGTATTGGAAATCACTTTCCAAATACTATATTTCACCCTTAGTTAATGCCTTAAGTTAACACGAAATTAGTAATGGGATAATCCAGAATTTCATACACGAATTAAGGCACAAATTCGTATATATATAGAGAAGGAGGATCAAACGAGAATGCTAATTATTTAGGAGAATACAAAAACGGCCAAATGGCATGCAAAATCAGATATGACTTTACATTAACGGAAAAAAAAAAGGTGTGTGGGCGACTTTGGCTGCGTCTTCAGGTCGTGGGGTAAAGTTGCGTGAATCGCATGTGATTTTGTATGTGATGTTAGAGTAAAATCACATATGATTCGACCATTTTCTTATTATCCTAAATAGGTTTGTTCTCGTTTGAACCCGACTCTCTCTCTATATATTCACCAGATCAAACCGTTTATGTAGTTATAAGAGCATTTGGCGATTACTGGCAGTTTGGTGGTAATATGTGACTGCCATGCATTTGCAACTGTTAACGGATAAGATCTGGCAACGGTTACAACCGCCTTCAGAAGCTGAGTCAGAAGTACCGACTACCGAGCCCATGGTTGAAGAACAAGATCAGCAGAGATACCCATGATCAGAGAGGCTCTGATTACCAGCCTTAGTAAACAATCTAAAGATCAGAAGCTCTGTTTAATTGAGGCTCTGGTCCACTATTGCGACTAAGGGGCCGTTTACCTGAACACTTATCGGGTACGCGCTTACCGGTAAAATTCAACACTATCACTTACTTACACGGTAAGATTTTAGTCCACCAAAATTGCATCGTAAGCAACAATTTACCCAGTAAGCGCTAACTGTGGTAAGAGTTGTCACCCTCACTTACAGGGTAAGACTCTCGGTCCTTGCCTTAGCTCTTGCAGGTAAGATTCTTGGTCCTTGCCATATTTATCCGGATCCGGTAAGGTAATGTGACTTGGTAAGAGCTTACCCGGGTAAGCATTTGGTAAACGGCCCCTAAGTGAAAATTCAGAACATCTGATCTTAAAGATTTGAGGCTCTGAGCCATACTTACATGAATTTTACCAAGTTTATGAACAACCTCAAAACTTACAATTCCTAAATCGATTTCAAGTAAATCACAGTTACACTAAAACTAGTTGCCAACACTAAATCACCAACACTCACACCCTCACCTAATAACCTAACTCAATGAATATGAGAGTGTAGCCTTTGTTGTTGCTACTTATGTTGTAGACAAATAAGGAAACATCTATGAACTTCTTATACAAATAACGACAATTTGCAAAAGAGCAACCCCCATGCAAAATGCTCCTTGGCTTTGCCCTTAGACAGGTATTTCATATTCTTTGCCTTGCAATTTGCAAAGAGGTTAGTTTCATTAGTCAAACCCATGATCATACAAGAGTAACCTTACCAGTGACTCAAACTCACAATTGATTATTTTGAGGCAAATAAAAGAAGGAACTAGAAAGGTTATTCTAGGTTGTGCTGTCTGAACAATGGTTTGTCTAATTTTATCTTAGACAAGGAGTGAAAATTAGATGCATGACTTACCATCTTTCCAGGTCTGCACAAAGTTGTAGTACGAGGATTCTGATAGAAGTTCAGTTCTTACTCGTGGTTCAACATAAATATTCAACTTTCTCTTTTCCTTCAACCACCTGTAATGACCAGTAAAGTTGAGTAGCCTATTCATGGAACCAAAATGTAAGTCAAAACACATCCTATAATTTATGATAATCAGGTGAGAAAAATAAAAACTGTAATTCTACCACTACCAACAAAATATACTTGCATGAATAATATTCAACACATATACAGTGATATAAAATAAACTCCTTTGGGTTTCATGATTTCATCCCTAAAATGATAATGATGGAACCAGCTAAATATCATTGCAAGTTTCTACAGAAATGAAGAACTCAGTGGCTGTGAAGAAGACTATTTGACTTGAGACCTATTCTCATTTTAATGTACTCAAAATTAGGTTGATGTTACCATGTTCCTATAGTTGGTACTGCGATGTCTAGGTGATAAGCCTGAAATACGCCTTATGTATTCCAGAAAAAGGAAGGAGTAAAGGTTGGACGGTCTTTTCACCTGTAAGAAAGGGGCAGAAGTTAAATGGTACTTGGATGTCGTACAGTAAAGAAAATTTGTATAAATAAGAAGGAAAAGGAGAGTTTAAGGGGTATGAAACAATTTGTGATTTGAATATATATCAAGTAATGGGGATGGATTCACAATGAAAGAGAAATGCCTTGTTTGTCATCCTCACTCCAGTAATTAAACAGAAAAAAATCTAGCAGAAGCTTTCATAGAAACAGATAAAGTAACTGCCTCAGAAATATATAAAAGATCTGCAAATCATACTATTCAGTCCTACCTGACCATTTCAGCACAAAGGATTTTGACTGAAGTTGAGTTTGGTTTTGCCAAGATAAGCACAGTCTGTGGAGGAGATTCCCACTTCAAAGAAATCTGGAATACAAAATGTCGGCGATATTAAACAGCACATAAGAAACGCCTCCAATCTATTACAGTAGGTCTTTGATGCCTCCAATATAATACATCTTATCATGTTGTTCATGAAAATACAAACCATGTCTAATATCAAGTAAGACTATTATGGTTCTTCCTTACCAAAATTCCACGAATGCACAATATAAGCATACCTGTTTACTGCTCCGTGCTGCTGTTGTTATATTTCCCTTTTCAAACGAGACAATGTCATGTTTATGCTGATCATCTTTTTTACCTTTGCTACACCATTGCAGTTTGAATGATGCCTGCAGGGAAACAATCCAGTTTTGGTCATGGTTACGGGCGCCTTTCATAAATTAAAATAAAATGATGGATCAAAAGGAAACTTTGCTATGTAATTCACATAGCTTATCCAAAATTTAGAATAAAGGAAGAGGTCTCCAGAAGCCATAGTAAGCCCTATCACTATGAAAATGAACTTCAAGAAATATCGTCAGGGCATAACCCTCTTGTCTACATGCTGCATCTGGATGTTGGGTGAGAAACTGCCAAGAAGCGGTCCCTTAACCCCACAAGTGTGAGTTAAGGAGGCTAGTTCAGGATAATGCGATCTGTTTGGCCAGAAACATAAGCTCTTAACAGGAAGTTGAGAGTGGATTATGGGCTTATGGTCCAAATAGGAAGAGAGTGCAAAATGCATTCATACATTAAACTAAGATGGTAGGTGAAAAGATATAGAATTAACAAACAAGGGATTAAGTAATGGCATAAAGGAAAAGAAATGATCAGAGACGAGTAAGAAGCATATCATACATAAGAGCTCAAAATGATCTAGCTGAGGTGAAACCATTTTGGTCCAAGTGTCAAACTAGTCATAGGAATGGAACCGCTTTACTCAAACTAGTAGTAGGTGAGGTGGTCATAAATGTCATTAGTGCATGTACTCACCCAAGCAGTCTCAATGGATCCAACAAGACGCACTTTTGGGAAGACTGGATTCAACAACAGCTAAGTAGGTGGTTGGTGAATGTAAAGCAAGTAAGCATTAATTTAAGGACACTTGATGGTGGGATGAGGACACACAAAAGACCCTCAAGAAAAAAAAAACTTACATAACCGTAGAAGGCAGAGAGCATAGTGAAGCACCAACTTAGCCAAAAGAGTAAAAAGAACTTAGGAAGCTAGAATTAAAGTATATAAAAATATATACCCATAACAAGAAAGGGTGGTGAGGAAAATGAAGTCTACATCTTAGCAAATATATCAAATAAAAGATAGATACCTTAACCAAACCATATGCATGAGACTGTTTCTAAAAGCTCGAGATTAGGGAAGATGGATGGACAACAGTTGGAGATTGCCACTAATAAAAGGTTCATAGGTGTTTTAACATAATGTGAGGGGAAAGAAGCTTCATAAAGATGAAGTCGGCAGTGCTTTAGGACTTAATTCATAGTATTCCATTGAGATTTAAGAAGCCATGGCAAGATGGCAATAGTATGACTTACTAAGTAGTTAGATAACATATTCAAGACAAGAGGATGCCAAATGGATGGGGGAAAAAGTATGATTTATGCTTTGGAGAACAACAACAAATGCCACATATGATATTTCTGACTAGCCAACTCATGATCGATAATCATGGATCGATAAAGATAGAAAAAGCATTCACATATGTTATATATATTTGAACCTGAAAAGGATTAATTAGGGGGTGGAGGAGATCTGGTTGACCGATAAAATTAAATTTTTCCACACACTCCAGTAGCATGATGTGTACAAAAATAGTAGTTCAAGGGCATAACTTAAGCCTGTGAATCAAAATTTTGGAGTCAAGATGACGTGGCTCAATTTTGTGGCTTTGGTTCGAGTTGAATCATGGAAGTGGCCCATTCTCATGTAAATTGAAAAATGGGAATCCTAAAATAAATAAATTTATTGCAAAAAGAAATGTCAGCTCTTACGGACAATGAGAGCTTGCTGATTTATCTCCTAGGAAAGAAAATGTTGGTTGAAGTGGGAGTACGTTGTAAAACTAAATCTTGATGTTTCTCTTGCCTGATTAAAGGCCCAGTTAGTCACTAAGAGCTATTCCAAAGATAGCAAGAGGATTATGGCATGACATTCAGCCCTATAGCCAAAAATGACTTATAAGCAGCAATCTCTGAGGACTTGTGGTTAAGAGGGGTTGACGCACKTATGTCAACTAAGCAACTCTTTGTTAAAACGCACTATGGGTTATCTTTTCTTGATTCACGCAAGCAGTCGAGACTTTTGGGATGACTGCACAGTGCACATGATTTTATGTGCTTTATCATTGCATAAATGACAAAAGGATAGTATTCTATGTAGATGACATTATGATGCATTTGGGATTGCAGCTATGAGAATTTCATGTGATGTAGCCATGTAGGAAGTTTCGATTCTCGAATACTTGTTAAGTATTGAGGTGGAATTATGTTTTTCACATAATGTTGAGATAGGGATGCTTGAAACTCAGGTAAGTAATTCTTGAATGGTTTCCAATCAAGTGGTATCCAGATGAAAGGGACCTTCTCAAGAACCTAGGGAGATATAGGAGAATGGCCAGAAAATGGAACTACCACACAATCACAAAACTGAAAAAATGATGTCATTCTACATATGTTGAGATAGCTTACGGGTGCACTCGGTTCATTATACTGAAACGGATCATATTATGATTAGTTGATAGTCAAATGTAAGTCATACAGGTGTCCATATGGTATTAGAGCCACTATAAGGGATTGTGTTTTATTCAAAAGAAAATTTATATCGTGGGGAAGCAACAAGTAGGATGTGGTTTTCTCAAGTGATTGTCAATTAACTTGGGTTCATCATCTATCACAAGAGTGAGGGGATTCCATATCTGATAAAGATTTTACTCTGATAATGGTGTTCCCCTGCACATCTTGAAGAACCAAATTTTTCATGAATGCACAAAGCACCATGGGACTATTTGCCACTTTGTTCACGAGAATTAGCAGATAATTCTAGTGAAGTGCATCTAATGAGCCAGTTTGGCTACATTTTAGAGATTAGGTTGCCAACATCCTGGCAAAACCCCTACGAGGTTCTCAAGTTAGACTTGCTTGTGACAAATTGCATATTCAATGTTTATGACCCAACTTGAGGAGTGTTAGAATAATAGGGTTAATTTACGTCTTTGTATAAATTATTGATGTAATTAGAGTAGGTAGTGTTTTATCTATGTCCGCCCCTGGTTACCATTGTACCCTATTGAGTTCACGTCTTACTAATGAAAAGATAATTTTACTTAGAAACCTAATTTCTTTACAAATTTAAAGTCATGTTTCTGCGTGGCCAATGAAGCCTAAGCATGAAAAAGTGGACTTAAAAACGTGGTGAAAAAATTTATAGCCAGATAATCTATAGAATAAGTAGTTATAATAACAAACCACAAGGGTGGTGCCTGATTGGTTTGAGCTTGGCTCCAAAGGTCAAAAGTACCGGGAGGTCCCAGGTTCAAATCCAAGGAGGAATAAAAATCCCCTTGTGGCCACGGAGGTTCAAATGCGGTGACTCCGGGCTATCAGCAAAGCAGGTGGTTGCCCTGGGATTAGTCGGCTCATATAGCGGGTTGGATATCCAGGTTAATCAAAAAAAGAAAAAGTAGTTATAATAACAAGGAAGAAAATCCAGGTTTTCTAGTATCCATGTACTTTGAGTCATGCACACATGCTTTTGAGTCGCACACCATCGATGGTAAGTCTTGCAAGATCTCAAAGAATAACTAAATGTTCCAAACCACATTAACCATAAATAACAGTAATGATATAACTAACATACTTAACTACACTTTACACCCTAAAAGCAAGGTTTTCTTTCAGCTCACTGATTTAACATGATAAGTACCTTCTTGGTAAGTTTGGTTTGAACATTCGAGTAAGAGTCCTTTTCCCTGTCACGAAGAACCTCATGAGAACAAATTCCATTTTCCCCACAACACCTTTGAGATTTTTCAGCAGTTTCAGGCATGGGGTTTCCTACTTTCTGCTCATTGCAGTTGCCCTTATGATCAACGGATGGCAGGACTGAAATGAAAAGAAAATATTTTGTTAAAATATACTCTTGAGATAGTCAATGTTGTAGGGTTTTTAAACATTCACATGTTTCTTTAAGTAAAAACATGCACATGTTTAAGAACAGTGTTCTTGTACTTGGTATGATATCCCAGAATGCCAAATCATTAGTTTATTTCTCCACTCACAAAACTGATAGCCATATTAGCAAGCTCTAGATCCTCATTTCTTTTTTGGATCAGTAAAGCCCTCAATGGTTTGGGAAGAGGAAAGAGGAAATGTGATCAGTATTCAATTGATAGACATCTAGCATTAATGTGTAGCTTCTCAATGGCCATGACCTGTTTTGACTTTGATCCACAGGAAGGACCTGGTCTTCTGCAACTTAGAGATAATTTGCATGTTATTTTCAATTGATACTCTCTATCCTTGCATACGTTTTTCCAAGAGAAAACATAGATTAGGTACATTAACCATGACATGCCAACATCAGTAACAGTTAAATCCTTGTAGTATAAGCTCTAACAAGATAACAAATTTAAAATTCAAGGCAAGTAAAGTAACAGTATGGAGCATAAAGTATGCTATAATATTGAATTTTCATGAAGTGAAATTTGTTTACAATGATTAAGGTTTTAAATTGATCTTACCTTCTAAAGGTTCTCTGCAAGGTGTCATCATGATAGTATTGAATATCTTGAACCACTTTACAATCTATGTGGTTATAGTGGTCAAAATACAAAATAGCGGTCGGACTGATATTTGAAATAGAGGTTATCGCGGTGGTATAGCGGTTCATATAATATTTCTTAGAATTATACATACATACATATATATATATATATATATGTATGCTTACATAAACATATTATATGCATTAATTAAAAATATAGTTTCAGCATCAAAACATGAACTTAAACAAGTTTCACGAAACAAAATAGGAAAAGTGTCCATAAATGGTGATAGAAAACTCGAATAGTGTCGAAGAAGGTTGACTGTCGAAGATGATAGAAAAAAATCGAAAACCTAAGATTCTAAGAATTTCTAAACCGGATGTTGGATGGTATGTGTTGACTGTTAATGGATTAAAATAAAATAAGGGCCCAAATCAAAATAAAAGCCCAAAAAAGGACAAAAATGTAAGCACTAGATTCAAAAGAGGCCCTATTGAGAATATCGGTATTGCGGACCGCTATCTACCTCAAATATCGGTGCAATAGCAGTAAAATGAGCCGCTATTATCGAAACCACAATTTCCACTGCTATTTTCCTAATGACCGATAACCGCTATTGCGGCAATTAACAACATAGTTTACAATGTTTCTATTAAAGGTTAATAATAATATGTTAACGTAGGAAGCCATCCGATTTACTCCATATTTTGTCTTAAATGACTTCCTTGTTCTCCAGACTCTTAATTGGCAAGAGGTTCCTTAAGCTCCTACTGTTTTTGTTCAGAATATGTTCTATTTGGTGAAGCCCAATATAACATTTACCATTTTCCACAGATATTCTAAAGAACTTAAAGGAGTATCAAATAAGATGTAGATAAAGCTTTGCCACAATAGTAAGATGCCTATGAAATATAAAATAAATACGTTGTTGGTTCCAGAAATCATGTCTATATGTCTACGACTCTGAAAATAAGAAAGTTTCAAGCAACCAAAAGAAAGGATAGAAGAATTCAAGATCCTAGTAATGTAAGCTTGAGAAGTATTGAAGGCATGGAAAGCTAAGACAGCTAATTTATCAATGTAGAAGCAGTGGGTCTGCACAAAGACGTTAGTTATTTAAACAAATGGTGCTGCAAACATTGAAAAAACATATTAAAGCTAGGTCACTAGTAACAGTAGGATATAACCATCGCCAAAGACCTCAGTGCCAAAAAGAAATACATTTAGCAACGTACGTAATAGCATTAATGATGTAATGGTATTAGCATCATTTGTGAGCTCTATGTCAACAAGTTTGTATGCATTATTAATCATGCATGTTAAGCATTAGTGAAATTACATATGTTGCTTATCTCTTAAACCTTTATGTTCCAACTGCAAGCTCCGTTCTCTCTCCATTTCATATTTGCGTTTCCATTCTGTAGCCTCAGCTTGAGCAGAAGCTTTCCCTTCAGCTGCTTGTCTTAAAACCTTGCTGACAGCTTATAAATCAGGCCAAATAATATAAAGCAGGGATCAGTATCGAACCTTATTCAACCTCCTAAAATAGTTTCATCATAATCAAAGCTTATAAGGATGGAAACAAAATCATACTTCTCATGGCCTCCGAAAACTCTACAAGGTGATCTTCAATCCCCTCAACAAGAGGCTGCTCGCCAATCTCCTTTAAAACTTTCTCTGAATTCGCAAGAGGAAGGAAATTGGTATAACCATTTTCCTGTAGCAAATCAAGTGCATTTCCCTATTCAAAAGTGACAAAAACCATGAGCACAAGATGTAATGGAAATCAAAAACTAGTAGGTAGAAAAGAGGAAAAAGGGCTCTACAGAAGATATAAGACAAAAGCATCCCATTAGCAAAATGCTAAAAACAAGTGGTGCATCTAAGTGACACTCCCAAGATACCCATTTTACGGCTTCAAACCCCACACATGCTTATTCAAGGTTTTATTGAATAAGCCAGTGAGTATACAATAGGTTATACAAGAATGGTCTTAATGAAAATACACTACGTTCCTAGAGTTCTAATTTAGAAAGACTTGGAACCCTATAAAGGTATCTTCCTTTAGCCAGACTTCCCGCATTACTGTGATCAAGAGGAAGCGCTAAGGTCTATCCTTTCCTTAAGTTAAGAGTGAAGGACGGATACTGGCTCTTTAGGACTGATAGTAGCTGCTCTTCTGGTAGTATAGCTGGTAGCTCTGCTTATGCTAGCTCTCTTCTTTCTTATGAGAGAAATTCGCTATAGGGGCATTTCTCTGTAAGAAGAAGGCCTGTTACADCTATCAGATATAGGGGATTTACTTCACCTTGAATAACTATCAAAAAATGGCTTTCTTTTCTTTCATATTTCATTAAGGTAGTTTGCTTACTTAGTGCTTTCTCTAAGGCGTAATCATGATAGCAGAGAATTGACAATCAACAATGTAATGGCATTATCCAGCGAGAGTTGCATCAAGCTAGTTTCATTTCCTTCCCAGGACAAGCCAAGGTATATACTTCCCTTGCCAGACCACAATGTGTGATCATAGAATCCAAATTTCTATCTACACAAGTATTTTAACTAAAACCACTTGGCTAGGCTGAACGTCAGTTGAAATTATGAGATGAACCATATCATCTATAATTTACTTAAAGAGTAAACATGGTAGGAGCCAAATATTTGAATACTACCACAAGAAAATTCGCACAATGATTAAAACGTTCCTCAAGGAAGCTAGAAATCATGCAAGTACCGTGTGAATTACAGAATTTCATCATCTTTTTGCAAATATTCAAGCTAGAATTCCTATTTTTTTCATCAGAACATGATGATAAACAAGGATCATAACAAATTGAAATATCTCAATCACATAGTTTCTTGCACATTTAGTATCACTTGAACACTTGTTACCAGCATGTCCATGGTAGTTACAACACGCATGCAGGAATGGCGTGAGCCCACAAAGGATCAAAGGAGAATGCATGGTTCACCATTATTTCATGAGCATCTGAAAAAATATAGCAAAATAAAGGAGACACTGGACATTTTTTTGTAACAAGCCAGCTCAAATGCTCGCATAAGCATGTGATGACTTGAGGCACAGCGGTAGCACTTTGCTCAGGGAAAGTGCGGCATTATAAGAAGTACCCAATTTGGGTTTTAAGCATATTTTCCATATAAGAAGTACCTTTGAGGCTTTAAACCTTAACCACAAAGGTTGAATCATTTCTAGTATCAAAAAGGCAGTGCACTATAGCTTATCCTGGGTGCCAGTACACCACATATTATATATATATATATATATATATATATATAAAACAGTGGAGTCTGTCCTAAAATGTAAACTGCAAACTAATTCTTCCATCTCCATTATCATATTTATTACTGCTTTTTATGTTGCAAATCCAAATTATTCTAAGGAAAAATAAGAACTATTTTTTTTCTAAAGGTTGATATCTTTTCTAGGATAAAGATTGTACATCCATGTAAATTATGATGGAGATCGTATAAATCTTTAGGTTAGCAATGTAGTAATTATTACTTCCTCATTCATATAAAGCAGTGTCTATATATAGTGTTTAATCCCTCAAAGAAAATCAAGCATTTCAATATAATTCAAGGCTGTCAAATTTTATGGTTTATCTGAAAGGAAATCGTCAGCTATTGGAAGTAGTTCAATCACCAACGTTTACTATGAATAGTCCCAAAATATCAATCGGAGAAACTATACAAAGACCTCATTCCTTATAAATAAAATGCCTTCTCAAGTCCTAAAATACAAAAGACCTCTATATTCTGCAGCACCCTTATCCTAACTTTGCCCTTTCTTCCTTAAATCTTAAGGTTCTTTGGGTGCTTTGTCTTTGTACATCTTTGTAAGAAAATCTCCCGAATTTGATCCCAATTCCAGAAAGTGCATCTTTTTTGGATGTTCAAAACTCAAAATGTGTATAAAGGTTTCTCCCAAACTAGAAAACTTATGTTTGTATCCAAAGATGTCACCTTCCTCTTCCTCTAGTCCAGACGTTTGTTCCCTCTGTGTTCTTAGGAGGAGAACTTCATAGAAAAAGAGCCTCAAGACCCATCCCTACTACTTTAACCAACATCCTTCAATACACACTTGCCAATTCCACTTCAGAAAATCCGTAATCCAGATTTGGTTAAACCAAATATTCTCCATAACCAAATCGGTTAGACATCCCTAATCGCAATGTATGCTCAATAAAGCATCCACAAAAGTAAACGTATCACATACATACCAAAATTAGTTCATCACGCTCTCATCTTCCAAAATGGAGATGAGCAATAAAGAAAGAGCTAAATACTTGTAAAAAGAATAAACACGTTGGACGTTAAGAATCTGCCAGGAGACCATAAAATAGTAGGTTGTAAATAGGTGTTTACCATCAAGCATGATGCAGATGGGAGTGTGGAAAGGTGTAAACTAAGACTCACGGCTAAGGGGTTCAATTCAACCTGTGGCATAGACCAGACGGAGACTTTTACACCTGTAGCCAAACTAAATATCATTAGAGACCTCACTTATGGATTCTCACCTCAATTATGGATTCACACCTGGGACAATTAAGCAGGGACAGATTCAGAGACAGGATACTCATTGGGAATGGAAGTTGTAAGAAGTAAATTCAGTATATCATTTTCATAGAGGAAGTAATTTTGGATCTCCTTTAGGAGACTTTCTAATCTTGAACCTCGTGAAATGGGTAAACCATAAACCTTTGCTGTTTGAAGGACGGCTTTTTGCTTTCAATGACTATGGAATGCTCAACATTATGCTTTGTGTGCTTGGTTGTTGTTTATCTTATAGAGGGTTTGTCTTATTGTACAAGCTTCCTTCAAATTTATGTATTTTCTTAAGTATCACTTTTATGTAGTAACTTAGTGCATGGCGTTGTTCCTACATTTTCTCAATGTCCATTTTTTTACCAATTTTCAAGCATCAAACAAGTTCATCCATCAAGAAAGTGAAGAGTTCATCATCATACTCAAGTTAGTGGGATTGTTGGTAAATTATCATTCTATCAGATTCCAAATATCAAGCACCATGGATGACGCTCATATAAGATTCAACTATGAGAAAGATTTTGAGTAGGAACTGATAAAATCTTATTTTGCCTCCTAAAAGAACTGTACACGATTATAACAAAAATTAAACAACTCTAGTTGGTAGCTATGAACAATTCAATTACAATGACAGAAAAAAAAACATAAAATAGATGGTACCTAATTAAATAAAATATATCAATCAGAAGTAACTGATTAAATTACGAAAAAGATAACTCATAGTTAAAGTTGGAATTATCAAATTCAACACCAAAATGCATAAAAAGGATGCATATCGTAGAAAAGAATCGTACTTTAGAGTTAAGATTCGTAGGGTTCATTGCTGTTTGATCGAGAGAGAATTGCGAGCAAGTGGTAGAGCTAGAATGCCTGTGTCAGGGAGATTCGAGAGGAACACAGTTGCGATTTACGGAGGATGGCAATTTATAGAGACGTGAGTCAGAATCAGCTGAATTTTCCACCCAATCAAGATTGTGCACGTGTCTGGTTGTGTGGGCAGAAAGACGGGTTGTATTGTAAGCAATGGGTTGGAGCGTGGTTGTTCGCAAGTATTTTAGAAATAGGGGTCTCGTCCAATCCAGCGGATAAACATCTATTTTAACAAGTGTTTGTTATCGTACGTTGTATAATGATATAAATTTATGTAAAAACCATATAACATTTGGTTTTAATGAATATTTTAAATAAATAGACAAAATTAGATAATCAAAATAATATTATAATTCAAAAAATTTAACTACTCAAATCTTGTTATACAATTCAAACCTCTACCATCTTCTTTTTTATTCATAAATATTCAATTAAAATTTATTTTTATATCGATTTTTCCTTAAGATATGAATCGAATGCATACTTTAGCCAAATGGTCATTTTAATTTTTCTCCTTTCATATATTCGTAATCATTTTTCAATCTCTTATGTGATTCATAACGTGAGATAACATGAACAATACCACAATCCAAATATTATAATATATTTCATACATCTACTATTTGTCTTTTATTATATAATGACCTTCAATCTATCATTTTCCCATCAATATAAACAACGAAAATAACACCACAATTGAATATTTTTAATACTTAAATCTCATAATACTACTTCATGTCATACGATCTTCATTTTATGTATACATATATAGATATAGGATCTTTACATAGAAGGAACCTTCCAAAAAATACATTATAAACTATAGTTTTCACTATTGATATTTATCACCATTATGTCATTTTGTATCTAATTAAATAATTTGTGTGTGTATGTATATATATATATATATATATATTTTGCATAATAAGGGTCGATCAAAAATTATATTTTAGCCAATTTATTTGTATGGTTAACATTTTTTTGTTAAAAAAGGAGTTGACCAAAATGAGTCAACCCATGAGCTCAGAGGGTCAAACAAAATAAGCCAAAAACATGAGTTTAGAGGATCGATCAAGAGGAGTTAACCTCATGAGTTACCACAAAGACATCTCAACCGCCATTCTTATACCCATCATTCCTTGTAAACCTTTCATATCTCCATCAATGTGGGATATATGAAATTCAACCACAATTCAAGAAATGAAGAATACTCACTCTTTATGATGTCATCTCATCCCTTGTAAGTTTTACTCTAATTGGTTTTGCCATCTGATTGGCTTTGATTTCAACCATGGTTTTTCATCACTATATTTTGGATGGAAATGGTTTTGATTTCAATCATGGCTATATATTTGAAAGACATATATTTATACTTTTGTATACATGTAGAAAAATATTTCACAACTATAAGTTTTATCATTTTATTGGCTTTGATAGATTTCAACCATGAGTTTTCATAAATATAAAAATTACTAATTTGTTTTGTCATACGGTTGACTTTGATTTCAACCATGGTTTTTCATTGCTATAATTTTCATTGTTTGGATGGAAATGGTTTTGATTTCAACCATGTCTATACATTTGAAAGACATCTTTTATACTTTTGATTACATGTAGAAAATATTTCATAATTATAAGTATTACCATTTGATTGGTTTCGATAGATTTCAACCATGATTTTTCATAACTATATTTTTTATCATTTGGTTGGAATTAGTTTTGATTCGAACCCAGAACTATAGATTTCAAAGACAAAATTTTTTTCCCAATCTACCATTTTCCTACCAACATGGAATAATCAAAACACACCACATTTCAATATTTGAGAATACTCAAGTCTTGTAATGTCACCTTACAATACTTGGTTGATCTTTTAATAAGATTTGTTTTATATAATAAACGTTATTTTGCAAAAATAGGGCTATAAAAATAAGACAACTCATGAGCCAAACTTCATTAGTTGACACAATTATCATCCCATCCTTCATTCTTATACATGTCTCTTTATTATATTTTTTCAAATTCTCACCAAGTAGATATCTAAAACTCAACAACAATTCACTATTTGGAAATACTTCATTTTCATAATGTCAGCTCAATGCCTCTCTGTTCTTCATTTAATATCACCTCATTCTTTTTGCTAAAATGAGGTTGGCCAAAATGAGTAATCTCATTCATTTAATATCACCTCATTCTTTTTGCTAAAACGATTGTTGTTCTTTGATAATAAAAAAAACTATCACTCCAAAATTAGAGGTCAAACAATAGCTCACATATTTATATTGCTCTTCTAGTTTTCAAACCATCACATGCTTATTTTATATATACCTATCATACTCTATCAATATATAATTTGTTCATCAATGTGGGATTTCCAAAAACCAACCACAAAACAAGATTTTAAAATACACAACTCACAAGGTGTCATCTCAATATTTTAAAGTTCTTTTTTTATATGATATAAACAAACTTAACCACATTTCAAGATTTAAGAAAAATACTCAAATCTCATAATGATAATTGCAAATGAAACAGTTGACTTATTTGAGCCAACATCATGACTTACAACAAAAGGAGTCATCTAATCTTGTCATATATATACACATATCATTCCTTCTACTATTTTTCTTCCCACCAATGTGGGATAAACAAATTTAACCACATTTCAAGATTTCAAGATTTGAGGAATACTCAAATCTCATAATGCCATGTCATTCTAGTTGGTTTCTCCTTTAATATATATATATATATATATATATATATATATATAGATGTTTAATTTTTATTATTTATCTCTATCGATTTAATATATTTTTATGTGGTTTTGGGAAAACGATAAAGTTTTTATTTTTAAATGAAATATAAATTTGAAAATGGTATAAATTTTTTAAATATCGATATTAGTATTAAATTAACTATTTAATAGTTTTCGTTTTTTGGTGAAACTTTTTTAATTCAATTTTTTATCTATACTATATAATAAATTATTTGACAAAAACTCTTAAAAATCATTTAAAAATCATTTTTATGCATAAAGTACTATTTATTGATACATATTACTTAAAATTCAAGATTACAAGTAAATTATGCATAAGTACAACTTATTAAAGTTTTATGTTTGAATTCGTGTAACTAACTGCGGATAAACATAATCAAATAGAGGATAAACATCTCATTTTAAAATATAATTATGATAATTATTGAGTTGTAACAGAATACTTAATTATTATCTTTATAACAATATATTATTAAACCTAAATTAAGTTACTTCGTTACATTAAATTAAATTATAATAAAATTTTGAATTAAAACAAATACACAAACAACAACTTTTAAATAGTTAATTTGATACTAATATTGATATATTTTTTTCAAATTTTATATGATATTTTCAAATTTATATTTTATAAAAAATAGAAACATTATCGCTTTTCCAAAACCATATAAAATCGTATTATATCAACATGGATAAAAAATAAAACGAAACATTGAAATGAAAATGTGTCTCGATGCATTGCACGAGTACTCTTCTAGTTATAATTTAATTTGAGTATAATTACAAAGTAATTTATTTTTTGTTTAATAATATAATTTTATTAAAGATAATAATTAAACATTCGGTTAGAAACTCGATAATTATTCTAATTATATTTTAAATTATTTAGATTTTAAAATGAGATGTTTATCATCTATTTAATTATGTTTATCCATAATTACTTACACGAATTCAAATATTGAGCTTTAATAAGTTATACTTAATGCATAATTTACTTGCAATCTTGAATTTTAAGTAATATGCATCAATATACAGTACTTTATGCATAAAAAATGTTTTTTAAGAGTTTTTTCAAATGCTTTATAATATAGTATAGATGATCGAATTGGAATTTTTAATTCTATTAATTAGATTTCATTCATTTTTTATGATTCAAAATCCTACAAATTTCATAAACAAAGTAATTTAACATTTCTTAACAATTATATGGTATTTTGATGAAATAAAATTATCTATTTTTATAATACTAAATATGTCTCTAACCCAATATATCTGAATACCCAATATGACCATCGTCGATCTGAACCACCGCCGACCACCACCGATCTGAACCATCACCGGCCACAGCTGATCTGAACCACCATCGATCTGATCCACTATCGATATGAACCATTACCGATCACCGTCATCTGAACTACCATGAACCACCACCGATCTGAACCATTATCGACCATCTCCATCTGAACCACAATGAACCATCATCGATCTAAACCACTGCCGATCTGAACAACCACTGATCTAATCCATTACCGATCTGAACCACCCCTGATCTGAACCATTGCCGATCTGAACCACCGTCGATCTGAACCATATTCGACCGTCGCCACCTGAACCACCACCGACCACCATCGATCTGAACCACTGCCAACCATCGGCGACCACTGATCTGAATCACTGTCGGACACCGTCGACCACTAACGATTTGAACAACCACCGATTTGAAACACCACTGCCACCGTCGATCTGAACCACTGCTGACCAACTCCATCTGAACCACTACGGACCACCATCAATTTGAACCACTGCCGACCACCGCTATTTGAACTACTACGGACCACCAACGATCTGAACCACCACGGACAACCACCGATTTGAACCACCTCCGACCACCGTTGATTTAGTAATGTCGTTTGGCTTATGGTTATATTTGGGTTGTGTATTTTATATTGTTTTACATATTAAAAAATTATTTTGCTAAAGTATTTTTAGTTTTTAAAAAAAATTCAAAAAATGTATTTTGGTCATTTACCAATATTTCATTCGAATTCCAAAGCTACATTCTGTGAACCAAACAAACAGATTTTAATTCCTTAACAGATTCCAGTCCAAAGTCTACTAACCAAACAGGTGGTCAAACTTGATAACATCCACTTCAATTCCTTCAAAGTGAAATTCCTTTAACAGATCTCATTTCATCCAAAAAACATTCTGCGAACCAAACACCACCTACTACTTATATTTGTTAAAGAAAACTATATAGAACAACATTGAATGACAAAATAATTTATAATTGTTACTAATTAAAATCCATTAAAATAGGGATGGTTTAAATAGATAAATATTAGAGATATCAATTTTAATCTTTTAGCCCCCATAATTCTCATATGTAAAAGTATTGAAAAATGT